AAATTCTTTAATTAATTTTTAATCTTTTATGATTAATTTAATTTACTCTAATTATTTTTGTACGAGAAAAATACTATCATGGGTATACGTTTTATAATTAATTTAATATATTTGTGTTTAAAAATTATATTTGACCTTTAATTTTAATTTTTATTTTATTAAAATTAATAATTAACATATATACTTAATTGCGAATTATATGGATGAAAAAAATCCCCATTATGTGTGTAAGAGATTTCGGAACTCTTTGCTAAAAAATAATTAAAATTAAAAGTCAAATATAATTTTTAAACACTTTAATATTATTAAGAATATATAATTCGGTTCCCGAAATATATTAATTCATTATAAAACGTGATATTATTTTTCTCATATAAAAATGACTAGAATAAATTAAATTAATTATTAAAAAACTAAAAAGTAATTAAACGACTTAGACTTAGATGATAATAATAATGAAACATTTTATAAAAAAAGATTCAATAACTAGTAGGTCAGGTTATAATTTTTTATTTATTTATTTATAACATTATGAGCTATTAAGCTCATCATCTCGTTCGCTCTCTGTCTTGCTTTCATTCGGCAAGTCACAAACGATATATGATACTCGTATGTTCCTACTTCAACTCTCGAGAATCTGAAACAAACGAAACTCGTGTCCAATATACAGGGTGTCCGGTAACTAACAGACCAATGATTACAAATGGATTCTTTGGTCAATTTGGGAACGATTTTTCCTCAGCGAAAATGTCGAAAAAGGTCATCATTTTTTACAACTTTCCAATCTTTGTCATTATGTATCTTTATAACTAAGCCTTAAATTAAAATTTTATTATAGTAAACTCTACCTGAAATTAACTGAAGAATGTAATTATGTTAGACTTTTAACTCCAAAACGTTTAGTTTTCAAAAAACCTATTTTTTTCAATCGCTTATAACTCGAAAATTATTGACTTCTCAACATTTTTGCTAAGGAAAAATCGTCTCCAAATTGGCCAGAGAATCCGCCCTTAATCATTGGTCCGTTAGTTACCGGACACCTTGTATATATTATATAAAAGTGTATAGCACGTCAGAAGCTTGTGAGCTTACAGCGATAAGTAAAAACAATTGCGTATTTATTTCATTGCGTTTATTTGTTTAAACGCGCGCTTTAATTTTTCCAACGTTTTTGCCTGTTTATATTTTAAAGGTCCTCTCTTCTAAAAATCTTGTTTTAAAGATCCTCTCCGCGAGCAAAATTCGAAAACATAAATTATTTAATATTTTTACTTTATTATTTGTAAATCCTCGGTAATTTCAAAATTTTTCTATTTGAAAATTATTAATTTTCTATTGCCAATTAATTTTATCACAGACTTTACTCTTACTCCCATTGCACTTTCGTTTGCGGTTTTCAGTATACGATTTTTTATCGTAGTTACTGAAAATTATTATTGTGAATTATACTTGTGCAGTGATTTGAAGAATTTACAATTTCGTTGAAATTGTTGATTTTTCAAAAAAATTACGAGATTCGCGGAAATTGCGTGCTTTCTTGGCATTTTCCGTTCGCGGCAGGCGGTTTATTTTTGATTGTTGCAAGTGTTTTTTTTTTTTTTTTTATTAAAATAGATAATAATAATGTGAAATAAATCACGATATTTGACAGATGTGCATATATATAGAAATTGTAATAATAATAATATTATATCATAAAATTGTAAATTGTTTCAATTTTTTATAGACTGCGATAAAAGATTTTACATTTGGATAAGAAACTGCGGTAAGTAAAAATATAAAATTCTTGAAAACGTAAAAATATTTGATAACGTAAAAAGGTGAACTTTGAAAAATAAGGAACTTAAAAATTGCACTAATAAATGGGCTATATATATGTGAGCCGTGCGCGGATGTAAGGTGTGTTATATCGAAATTTAATTAATAGAATTGAGAATTAATCCCAATTTTAAGTCTTACAAATGTCCAAGCTAATTTTTTGTACCTCGTGTACATTTTTGAAAGTTATATCGAAAAATTAAATTTCAATATGCGTCTTACATCTCACATTTCGCATACGGCTCACATATAGCCTATTTATCTCTTATACTTTATTTCAACCCTTATAGAAATTTATTACTAGTAACGCCAATTTATCACTTATTTCGAGTAATTAATCACTTTTATTTCGAATACTTAAATTACTGTATATTATAGTATTTTAAATACTCAAAATAAGTGATTAATTGGCGTAGTGATAAATTTCTACAAGAGAATAAGGAGCCTTTAAATTCTTAATGTAAAAAATTTCAAGTAATTTTCTTTAATAAAATTTAATTAAAAATTTAATTAAAAAATTTTTGAACACTGTGTTATATCACATTTAAAATCGTGATTATTTCAATAAAAAAACATTTTATGTGTAAAAAATATATTTTTATATTTAATAAATTTTATATATATATATGCATATATGTAAAATATTCTCTCTCTCTCTCTCTCTCTCTCTCTCTCTCTCTCTCTCACACACACACACACACACACACACAACGGGGGCCAAATCTCTCAAATTGGTCTCATGATCAATTAGCCTTAGCAGGCAAAGTCTGTTGGTAATGTCAAAATTTAGTGGTTGGTTGCAAACGAGGAATTTACACGAGGGGCAAAGTCTTTGGTCGAGTCTACAAAAATTTAGCACGGACTCGAACCAGGGGCAAAGTCTAATCAAGTCTACGAAATTTAGCACGGACTCGATGGCCAGGGGCAAAGTGTTTCGGTAAGGGGCAAAGTCTATCGCACGAAGATGGAGGTCTCTTCTTTAGGCAGGCCTTTGGCGATCTGTCTATTAATCTGTGCTTTGGCGATCTGTCTTTTTAATCACTTCTGTGTCAGTGATATAGAAAGAGAAGGAATGTACTCAGAGGACGTTTCCGAACGCAGTCCAATTTAGTCTTTCATTTTATCCCTAGAATAGAAATGAAAGGTTTTCATTGGTTGAATTCCTTATGCTTTATGCATAACGCATAATACATTTTTTATAATGTACAAATTTATTTAAATTAGAAAAAGGGTCGTTTCCCAAATAAAAATAACAATGAATATGTTATTCTCAATGATTTCTAATCGATTCCATTTATAATTAATGTTAAATATCAATTATTATACTATCTACTAACTTGACGGTTGATAAAATTTTGTTATTAACAAAAACTATATTATTTCCTAAATTAAAATAATGTTTTCCTAAACTTCCCCAAACAATTCCCCAAATTATATAATATAAAATAATTAAAAAATATTCAATTCCTCTGTTAATTCTACGGCGGTGTTAGTATTTTCAGCAAATCGTCTACGTCAGATGTTAGTCACATGACTTTAGACAGTGACGGATGCCGCGTAGTTGTCAAAAATTAAAATTTTTTTCTTTTTCTTCCTTTCTCTTTCTCTCGAGATAGATTTTTTAAATTTATTTTAATCTTTCAAAAATATGGATATTTTTGTAACATAATTATATTTTAAATATAACTGACGAACATTAAAATATAGGCTTACTAACAATTAACTTAATAGATATTTATGCTTATATGTAAATTAATTTTTACTTATTAACTATTAATTATTTTTAGATAAATATAATATATATACAAAAAATTATATTTTTCCTTTAACCTAAAATATTTGAATTTATAAAAATTTTCTTGTTTTGGTTATAAAGAGTCTATATCAGATAAAAAGATAAAAAATTTACTAGATTTGTAAACAAATTCGTTTAAATTGATATGTCAACTCAAGGGTAACGCTAAGCATAATTACACTCCTACGTGCGCGAGTGTGAGCGAAATAAATCAGCACTCAGTTCCGTTGTAAAAAAATGGCTCTACTCGTTAGAAATATCTGCAAAACATTTTCCCAGGTAATACGATATTCTTTCGTATTTTCTGAATTTCGCCTCGCTTGTATTTGTAAAATATGGAAACATAAAATGCGAGACAAAAGCATGATGATTACGTTGTGCAAATAACGCGACATTTTTCGACGAATAGTAGAATTGCAAGGGCATTGCATATTCGAGTATTTTTATTCGAAACGCATGCTGGTTTTCGTTGATCATCAGAAATATAAATACTTCTTTTGATATACTGCGAATTTATCTTATGATCACCCGAATCGTCAATTTATATATAAATTAGAACGAGAAACCAGTTCCCCTCACTGATCTCTATATAAGTGATATCTCTATATCATTGGTTCCCTGAGTTCACTTTTATTGTGTAATTGTAATTTAATCAGAACAATTATGTTATCCATCGAGAAAAGGCAATAAATTAAAAATTAGCATTTCTTAAAAATAATTATTAAAAAAGAATTCAACTTGTATTAAAAATTCAATTAAATAAAATAGAATCATAATGCCGATTAAGCTATCATTAATTAGTATTGCATTAAGAGATATTAAAATTGTAATATTTAAGAAAAATATTCATTTATAATATAGATATTGTAATTTATTTTATGTACACAGGCTGCTCAGAAGAGCATTGTTAGGACTCTGCACATAGGAGTGATACGGCAACAAGAATCAGTAAGTGTTATTATTTTTAAATTGATAAAATTAGATACTTGTATTTACTGACAACTATTTCTTTTAGGCAGTTGAACAAGAAGGAAAGTTGAAATGTACCTTAATACCAGGAGATGGTGTTGGACCAGAACTTGTGGTTGCAGTTCAAAGTGTATTCAAAGCTGCAGATGTCCCAGTTGAATTTGAACCTTATTTCTTGTCTGAAGTGAATCCAACTCTGAGTGCTCCCTTGGATCAAGTCTCCAACAGTATTGCTAGAAATCGAGTTTGTTTAAAGGTCTGATACTCATAATGTAATATAACATATTTAATATTTTTATTTTATATGTATAAAGAGAAGATTTATACAACACTTTAAAAATATATGTTCAAAATATGTTGAGCTGAAAAACAATGGTTTTATATAACATTATATCCAACATTTATTTTTTATGTTAAAGGGTATTCTAGCAACACCAGATCACTCTATGACAGGAGAGTTGCAAACCTTGAACATGAAACTACGTAAGAGCTTGGACCTGTATTCAAATGTAGTGCATGTAAAATCTCTACCAGGTATCAAATCACGTCATCAGAATGTAGATTGTGTTATCATCAGAGAACAAACAGAAGGAGAATATTCTGCATTGGAGCATGAATCTGTCAAAGGAGTAGTAGAATGCCTAAAGATTGTAACTGCTGCTAAGAGTCAGAGGATTGCAAAGTTTGCCTTTGATTATGCTGTAAAGAATAATCGCAAGAAAGTTACATGTGTTCACAAAGCTAACATAATGAAGCTTGGCGATGGGCTTTTCCTCAGATCATGCCAAGAAATTGCCAAAATGTATCCTAGGTATCCTAATAATTTTTTATCATCTATCAACTATCTTAAATGTTATAAAAAATTATTGCTAACTTTTTTATATTTTGATTTTTCGTTAAAACAGGATTATGTTCGAGACGATGATTGTTGATAACTGCACCATGCAGATGGTTTCCAATCCACATCAATTTGACGTTATGGTAATGCCGAATCTATATGGAAATATCGTCGATAATCTTGCGTCTGGTTTGGTCGGTGGTGCTGGAGTCGTCGCTGGTGCCAGTTACAGCGCCGAATGTGTCGTTTTGAACCGGTAACATATTTTGTTTTACTTGTACAACATAAGACTTATATTTGATACAATTAGTGTTATAGGGAAAGAAGATACTTTCTCAAACTACTTGTGACTTTTGTTAATTTTAAAGTGCACAATTATGTATATTATGAAATTATATTTTCTTCAATAGGGTGCAAGACACACATATTCTGAGGCTGTTGGCAAGAATGTTGCGAATCCAACAGCGATGTTGTTGTGTGCGGTAAAATTGTTAAATCATTCGAATCTCAAACGTTACGGCGAGCAGATTCGGGAAGCGTTGAATCGAGTGTTGAATGATGGAAAGGTGCTCACAAAGGATCTGGGCGGACAAAGCTCAACAACAGACTTCACCGCCGCTGTAATAAACAGCCTGCGTTAATAATAATATTTGTGTAATATAGACCAGGCATATAGATTCTAGTAAACTCATTTTCTTGAAGTTATTTAGGATATCTAGAATAACTATGTAAAATGTAGTGCATCCGTTATAGGATATAGCTATAAATATATAACCTTATACATGTATATAACTTATACATTTTAAAAATTTCTAAAATTGTATAATTGTATAGAAATATTTAATGTATATTCTTACAATAGTAAAATTGTATGTTCTGCGACAAAAAGGGCTTTAAAGTTCTTTGCACATTGCTGGTTCATGGAAGTCCAACTGCGATGTATGAATGCATAATTAATTTTATAATAGTATAATCAATTGTATTATATCCATATGTAATAAATTATGCTACCTTGTATATCCTGTTAAAAAATTATAATTATATATAAAATAATAAATTACAATTATATTAGAATCCATCAAAATTCAATCAAAAATATATATAAATATAATATTAGAAACGTGTGTGTATATATACATTTTCAGTTCTACAATTTCTATTTAAATAAATTTAAATAACGGTAATATGTAAATTTACATTAAAAATTATGTATAATAAAAATTATATGTTCCTCAAAATGTATTTTTAATTTATAATTTTTTTTTTATAGTAATTTAATTGTTTAATTTTTTAACATTTCGGGGAATAAACGTTTGTATATAATGTAATAAAAATTATAGTATCCCAACTATAATAGAAATATAGAATTAAATCCCTCTCTCAGCATCAACAGCTGATCAGAGTTTCTGTTCATCAGTCTATGCTTCATGTATCTACAATCTACATATACATATATGTATATGAAAAGTGACATAAAGCAAATAATTTAAATCAATGGATCCCGATAATTACACAATGGATTTAATACGTCAAGATATTGTTAAATATCATCTTCAAGTTAATGCTTTAGTACAAGTAAATATACATATATCAAGTTGTATACGAAATATAACCAAATTTTAGCACTATACGAATTTATTGTAAACGATTGCATTGCTATATATGATATATAGAATAGTATAAAAAATTATAGTGTAAATATCAATTAATAATTTACGTATTTCTATTATGCAGGACATTCAGCAATGTAGTGGACCATTGGAGGTGCTTGATGAGCTCAATGCGGAGGGCAGAACTAAAATAGCAGTTTTAAAAAACTCCATTGAGCAATTAGCATCTATTGCTGAAACTGAATCAAATGAAAAGAAAAAAACTGAACTGTTACTTGCATTGGATAACTATAAGGAGCAACTAAACTCTTCTCTGGCAGCCTTCCGCAAAGCAAATGTTGTTAGTGCATGTGTTATTGATAAATTGGCAAGGGAAAATTTATTCTCTATGTCAGAAGAACAGCAGAACGCTCTTCGTAAACGACACGGCAAACAGAGCTTGACGAATGCATCTAGTCAAGTAACAGATAAATTATTGAGCATTTCAAGACATTTAGCTGAAACAACTCAGAGAAGTGCCGATACCTTGGACACACTGTGTATGTATTCTGTTGTATTATTCAATATGATAAATATCATGATTCTATGGATTATCATTATTTCAGTAACATCTTCAGACAAAGTTGGTAGCACCAAGGATGAATTAGAACATCAGCAACAGGCAATAGTACAATCGGGTAAACTTTTAGGAAAATATGGAAGACGGGAAGTCACTGATAAAGCCTTGCTTGCATTGGCATTTGTCTTCTTTCTCGCCTGTATTTTACATTCTGCAGAAAAGACTATTTTGAATATATATATATATATATATATATATATATATATATATAAAATGTATAAAACGGTATAATCTAATTATATACAATTTAAAATTCTTATATAAAATATAATGTGATAAATAATAGAATTGCAAGCAATAATGTGCATATATATGTATATATTGAACATTATCATAAAATTTTTTACACTAAAGTCTGTATGTATTTCAAAAATGAGACAGAAATCATTATAATTATATTATTGTTATATATTATATATATTATTAATATATATATGCAAGGGAAAGAGCAAGAGAAATAGCATAAAAATGTATATAAAATCATTAAGTACACGTGGAAGAAAGCAAATCATACTTCAGTACATAATATAACAGAAAGGATATATATGATTAGCATGATATACAATCATGGTAAATTATAAGAGTAAACTCTATCTATTGAACATAGTGGACAAAAAATATTCAATACAAAAGGAATATATTGAAATAGAGAAATTATTGTGAATATGTATTACACAAATTTGTTATATATATGTGTACGTATAGTGAGAGAAAGAGAGATTATTATAAAAGATTTTTCTCTATTTTTTTTATTCAAACTTCATTAATCATTTTAATCAATAAAGAAAAAATTGGAAAGTATAACTTTTGAAACAATAAATGATATCTTTTATTAGATATTTATTATTTTTATATAAAGATAGCATTCTTAAAAATAATCTTTAAGAGTGTTGTATTGTAAGTGTTTGCTATCTGGTAATGAAATTAGAAATTTATGAAATAAATTGTAACAAAAAAATTATAACAGATTTTAATGCAAAGAAAAGATAACATAGATTATATCACAGAAAAATCAATATATTTTTGATCTAAGCTCACCTGTATATAAAATAAATTGTTGATCTGATGATGAATGGCATGCTATAAAATTATTAATTTCAAAATTTATTCAAAAAATAATGTATAATAGCTAATAATAATCTATTTTCGTAGGCTTTTTATGATTTTTGTACGTGTGATCCTTAATATATATATATATATATATATATATATATATATATATATATATATACATCTCTATTTTTTGTTAAATAAAAAATAAATTAATAAAAATTTATTTAATAACATAGAATAAATATACTGAAATATAAGAATTTTCTTTTTTGTACAGTTTAATTAAATTTCTATATTTATAAATTATTCTATATTTGTAAATTAATGATAATTAGTTAATTCAGATTCCAGATTATCAATATATAAGTCATGTCAAATCATTAATTATATCAATAACGCAACATTAAATCAGACGAATATTTTTATTGAACTGTCACAAAATGTTTTTGTGGAGCGTATAATGTATTGACAAGGATATGATGACTGAGATTGCTAAATTGGAAAAAAAACTTTCGCTTTGTACGATAGACAACTCAGTTTAACTTGCATAAAATAGTAAATCTCTTAATCCTTTGAATATAATTTTATAAAGACAGATTTAATTATATTCTCGTATAATAAGCTTTATGTAAATTCAATTTCTCTATATGGCAAATAACAGTGCATATGCCATAGTTAAATTTAAATTACATTATCAGTATATAAAGTTGCGCAATAATCAAATTATGTTCACTCATGATATTATTAATAAATAGGCTAAAAAAACTGATAATTATTTAATCCTTTGCATCCTATATCATATTTACAGTAACAGTGCAAGAGATCTTACTATAATATAATAAATACATAAAAGCTGATGTTTTACAGAAGTTAATTGCTAAAATATTAATGTTTGTATATATTTGCGTTGCAAGATTCAGCTTAATCAATTGCTACTGTCAGAGCGAGAATAATTACAAATGCAAAGGATTAAAATATCCTTATTCCAAGTGACTTAGTTTTGGTATGATATACATGAATACTTAATATATAAAATTAATCATTGATAAATTTTATAAAATAATATCTAATGGAACACAATATTTTCTGGATATTTTAAGTTAAACCATACAAATTTATTGAAATTTCGACCTAACTGGCCAGTACAATTTAATTAGAAACACTACGTTTCGATCCTTAGGTACGGGTTCTTTTCAAGTGTAACTTTCAAGATGTTGATTCGACAGCAATAAAATTTTAACGGTTTAACATTAGTAATTTTATTGCTTTCGAATCAACATCTTGAAAGTTACACTTGAAAAGAACCCGTGCCTAAGGGTCGAAACGTAGTGTTTCTAATTAAATTGTACTGGCCAGTTAGGTCGAAATTTCAATAAATTTGTATGGTTTTGCTCATAGCTGGCGGCTTCATTGATTTTATCGTTATTTTAAGTTAATTATAATATTGTCGTTTTTATATTTATAATCGCGTGTGTGTGTTCATATTGCAAGACAAAAAAATATATATTTATTATTTATTCATATCTCTCCTTGCCAGAATCATTAAAATTAAATATAATTGAATATCTTTACATTGATCATTCATTGACTCCATTCTCACACAAATAGTATTGCAATTAATATTCAGTAATAGAGTTTTCTGCAATACGACATTCTTCAATATCATTTGCTATAATCATTTTAAATATATTATTAATTTAACATTTTTGAAATTAAATAAATTAATAAGATTATGTTTTTTTAAACTAAGCTTTTAACAAAATTACTTACGTACATGATAATGATTAATTACTAATCAACATGTCCTAAAGACACATGAAAAAGTTTTACAGTCAAATAAACGCAGTGATTCACAAAATAATATTATGATCTCGTTTTTCAAACTTATTTTAGACTCTGTCTGTAGAACAGCTGCGAAAAAAATATTGATATCATACAATTTAAAAATAATGAAAAATCAATCAATCATTAAATTTAATTTTGCTTTCAAATTGTTCCTCAAATTTATATTTTGGATAGATTTCAAACTCAAGATCTCAACTTATCTCGTTCACAAATAAAATCGGTTTACCTGTTGTGGCATGTAGTTTTTTTTTCTTAAGCAATTCGTCTCTTTTGGTACAGCCTTACTTTAATAGTTACAAAAAATAACGCTCTGTTATCTTTAAAGGAACTCCCTGCTTGATATAGTCAATTTTGTCTTTGAATAAATAATTCGCTGAGATTAAGCTTTCGAGCCTGCTTTATCTTGAAATCTTTGCACGTGCAGTTTCTTATAATCCTTCCTATATTTTTCGATCGTCAATTCGGTATCACTAGTATTCGACAGGCTCAATGCTACCGGATCTAAGCTCGCCGCCAGCTTCAGATACGTCTCCTCCATCTCCTTCGTGATTTTCACCTCATAATCTAAATTGTTCTTGTGACACTCCTTCGGTGATTGTTCGTCCTCAAAAGTTATGAGATTTTTTTCGCTTTCCTTCTGTTCCATGCACTTTGACAAAATATTAATATTGCTGGATTCATTTTCCATAATCCTTTCGCTACCATCTTCGATATTTATCAAAGACTTCTTCGATGCATCTCGAATTTTGCAAGCTAAAATTCCGTCTTGCTTCGAAGACTTCTTCAGACAATTGTTCGGATAGACATCGCTCGCAGTATTCTCTTCGCATTTAATCTTATTGCTATCGTGTGACGCAGAATTTTCCACGCATGTGGATTGACGACTGACGTCAATGGACGACTGGACCCATTCGGCTACTCGTTGCAACTGATTGTCCTGTAACAGCACTGGCGGTGAATTGTCCTCGCTATTGGTAGACATCGAGTGTTCAGAATCGGCCCGAGATGCCTTTTTTGTATGCACCAGAGCAGTACTGGCCTTGCCGGCGCCGTTGCTGTACAACACAGTCTTGAAGTGACCTGCGTTGTCTAGTAAAATGTTTTAGAACCAGGCGTGACGCGCACCAGGCAATTTCGCGGACCTATCACGCGACTCGAGTTCGACTTAGTACTCGAGTTGAAGGTGCCACCGGTCAACGATTGCGTGACGTCGCTGCAGCTACTAGACGGATCGGAACTGGAAATGACCATACTGTCGCTGCTGAAGCTCGGACTAGTCGCTATTTCCGTCTGGTTGCTATCATTATTATTTGCTGCGCTATTGTCCGGACTTTTAACCTCGATCAAAGTGAATTGTGCGAATGTATTCCGCGCCTCCGGTGTTCTATCGTTCTTCCAATCGCGATCGTTGATGATATCGAGGTCGATACCGTGATTCGCTTTGCATTTATTCTCCATCGAAACGTTCACTTCAGAAGTCTTCAATCTCGTCCATTCGTTCTTCCACAGCCTATCATTGATGATATCGATATGCGTCTGTTCTTTACCAGAAAACTGATTATTGGCACGCGTCGATACAGGGTCGAAGAGAGGATCAAAAGAGTTTCCTTCGTCTTTATTCCAACACTTCACAGTGGATCTATTATCAATCGGAGAATCACACTTCCTGTTGTTGCCTTTAAGCAGTTTGGACGCCTTGTCGATGTTTATTCTATTGAGATCGTTCGATCTTGGAAACGACGACGAATGCTTACTCTCGTAACTCTGGGACGAGTTCTTTTTGTTTGAGTTTTTCTTTGTAGTGGCACAATTCTCCTCCGTCATGCAGTCTTGCATAGTCCTGCTGATAAACTTCTCTTTAATATTCGGAGCTTGGGAAACAAATATAGTGTAATCGCCGTTCATACGATGGCAGATCTTATCACTGTTCTCATTGATCTCGTAGAAGATCGCATGCGACGCGAGGTTCGGTTGAAGTTTACCTTTGCTTTGATGCTTCTCACCATTCGCCGTACCTTCTGAAGTTTGTTTCTCAACATTACGCGCGTGTCCATCGGAGAAAGAAAGCACATCCGGCAAACATGTTTGTGTCTCAGCATCCACCATGAGAATGCTCCTGTGACAGGTGCATGTGTCACAGTGTTTGGCAAAGGTTCTCTCTTTCTCGCGATCCTCCAGCACCTTCGCCATAATGGCTGCTGATACGATATCCATCGGTGGCTTGATTTCATCGCTATCGTCATCGCTATGCTTCTCTACTGTTGGCTTCGTAATATTATACACCATAGCTGTCGGCGGAAATGTAGATATGGGCACAGTGATGCTCTTTACATCCGGCTGCGTTACATCCTGCGTGGAACATCGCTTTTGCGCGACGTATGTTCGCACTTTAGCCTGCACCTCGGAAGGCAACTGCAATAATAAAAAATAATAATGTTGAAAAAGTTTACTACCTTTACTTTCTCTCTCTCTCTCTCTCTCTCTCTCTCTCTCCTCTATATCGCTCATCTTTACTTAAAAATTATAAAATATAAATGGAAAACATGAGAGTCTAAAATAAAGTTTACTTATTGATGCGTAAAATAAACGAGACATTATATAAATACAGGTAAATGTCATTGTAATATTTAAGTTTGCAAATAACGCCAAAATATAAAATATAGGAAAATTAAAATGCATCATTTGATTGATAAATAATAAATACAAATACAAAACATAATAATATAATTCATTATCATCATATACCTACCTTTTTAATCAAATGAGAAAATTATCTCAATTTATTTTACATATATTTTACATATGATTTACATATGATATATCTTACCGAATCATATTTCTGACCCACAAAATTGGAAGGTTTGCATTGTAGTAATTGAATAGCCAAACTAACATCGTTTCTATATTTTTCCTGTAAAAAAAAGAATATCTATTACATAAAAATAAATACATATAAATTAATATTGTACATATGTATATGACTGTGTAGTGCAATTTTTCTCTAATTTATTACAATAGAATTTTACAAATAATATAAAGTATAAAAAAATATAACTTTTATAAAGCACACTATATAAGAGAATAGAATATTTACATTATCTTGAGTTAATTGATGAATTGTGTAATTTGCATCTGCTAATCTATGAGACAGAGTTGCTATGTCCTTGGTAAAGGCACCTTTCTCCGTCTCACATTTGTCTACAATTCGTAGCAGTTTATCCTCCAAATTTTGATTGACCTTTTGAACTCTCTTGTGCGCTTCGTGCAGGCGTGAATATTTTTCTTGCCATATTAACAATTCTTCTTTCATGGAAGCCAGTTCTCCATTTGGAAATTTATCAGCCTCGTTTAAAAATTGTGTCTCCATTGTCACAATGTGGTTTTCTCTCTCAAGTAAACGCTGGCGCAAATTCTCTATTTCCACATGCAAGTGCATGTCACACTGTTGTTGATTTTCTTGGTTGCAAGTGCCGCACTTACAACCACATTCCTGTATGATATTATGAGATAAGCTCACAAATGTATACAGTTACATATTCTTATATATTGTTATAAAACAAATAAAAGTTACAATACTTAACAAGAATGATATATGTATATTTATGTGTGTGTGTGTGTGTGTGTGTGTGTGTGTATATATATATATATATATATATATACATATACATATATATATATATATATATATATATATATATATATATATATACATATAATAGAGTCTAGTTGTAAATATAGATATTGTCAGAAGAGATAATTGCATTACAAATTAAACTCGATTATATTATAATACAGATTAAATCAATCGTATCTTTTTTATATTTATATTTAAATAATGCAAGAAAAAGAAATTAGAAATATATCAGAAATGCAAATAAAATTGCATTCTACTGGACTCAAAAGTGTATAAAAAGTAAGTTGCAGTAAAGAAAGCAACGTGAATTATAAAAATAAAATCATAAAAAATTAATAAGAAACCAATACGAGGAAATTATCATTGTTGATCGACAAAAATACTACAGTACCAAGCTGTGTCCGTTGAATCAGCTGTCTCTGACGTTCCACGTTGGCAATAATTTTTCCGCGGATTAACTATGACATGGAATTTTCCCGATTAAATTACTCACATACCTTGCACTTCTCCGCCATAATGGTCCACTCCACTGGAAATGATATCGGAAATAATAATGCAAAAATATCGTCTAACAGCGCAACTACTGCGATGTCGTGGGAGCCTCATAACCCTTTCCTTTCTCGGCGTCTCCGACGTGCTTTGCGGAAAGTATGTACAGATCTGTCAGGCGCTCGACGTTGCGATTAATCGCGCGTACAACGTGGAACTCGCAGCGTAAACACGCGAATACTTCACATTTTTAATACAACTGACAGATCGCGGAAAGGCCCGCTTATCTCTATCACAGATTAATAGACAGATCGCCAAAGGTCTGGATGAAGGAGAGACCAGCATTTCTCACTGATTTCAGCGCCATATTGTAGTAGTGGTCAATGCAGTAACTATTAATACGTTCCCAAGATAAGAGCGTCTCATGCTCATGAACTCGTCCGGCGGCATGTACGAGATTTATCTTTTCGTAGCGTTCGCGTATTTCGGAAAGGACAGAATTTTATGATGTTATAAATAAATAAATAAATAAAATATTAACCTGACCTATTATAATTATTTTTTAATAAATGTTTCATTATTATTATCATCTCAGTCTAAGTCGTTTAATTAATTTTTAGTTTTTTAATAATTAATTTAATTTATTCTAATCATTTTAATATGTGAAAAATACTAATACGTATACGTTTTATAATGAATTAATATATTTCGAGAGTCGAATTATATATTTTTAATAATATAAAAGTGTTCAAAAATTATATTTGACTTTTAATTTTAATTATTTTAGCAAAGAGTTCCGAAATCTCTTACACACATAATAGAGATTTTGTTCATCCATATAATTCGCAATTAAGTATATATGTTAATTATTAATTTTAATAAAATACAAAATTAAAATTAAAGGTCAAATATAATTTTTGAACATAAATATATTTAATTTGTTATAAAACGTATACCCGTGATAGTATTTTTCTCGTACAAAAATAACTAGAATAAATTAAATTACTCATAAAAAAATAAAAAATAATTAAATAATTTATATTTTATATGATAATAATAAAACATTTTATAAAAAAAACAGATTTAATAAATATAAGTATATATATAACATGTACTTATATTTATTGAATCTGTTTTTTAATAAAATGTTTTATAAGCTTAGAAAACTTGACTTTGACGTAACTAGCAAATTTTATTTAATTATTTCACGACGGTTTGACGTAATAAAATGTTTTATTATTATTATATAAAATATAAGTTTAAATTCTTTAATTAATTTTTAATCTTTTATGATTAATTTAATTTACTCTAATTATTTTTGTACGAGAAAAATACTATCATGGGTATACGTTTTATAATTAATTTAATATATTTGTGTTTAAAAATTATATTTGACCTTTAATTTTAATTTTTATTTTATTAAAATTAATAATTAACATATATACTTAATTGCGAATTATATGGATGAAAAAATCCCCATTATGTGTGTAAGAGATTTCGGAACTCTTTGCTATAAAATAATTAAAATTAAAAGTCAAATATAATTTTTGAACACTTTTATATTATTAAGAATATATAATTCGATTCCCGAAATATATTAATTCATTATAAAACGTATACGTGATATTATTTTTCTCATATAAAAATGACTAGAATAAATTAAATTAATTATTAAAAAACTAAAAAGTAATTAAACGACTTAGACTTAGATGATAATAATAATGAAACATTTTATTAAAAAAGATTCAATAACTAGTAGGTCAGGTTATAATTTTTTATTTATTTATTTATAACATTATGAGCTATTAAGCTCATCATCTCGTTCGCTCTCTGTCTTGCTTTCATTCGGCAAGTCACAAACGATATATGATACTCGTATGTTCCTACTTCAACTCTCGAGAATCTGAAACAAACGAAACTCGTGTCCAATATACAGGGTGTCCGGTAACTAACAGACCAATGATTACAAATGGATTCTTTGGTCAATTTGGGAACGATTTTTCCTCAGCAAAAATGTCGAAAAAGGTCATCATTTTTTACAACTTTCCAATCTTTGTCATTATGTATCTTTATAACTAAGCCTTAAATTAAAATTTTATTATAGTAAACTCTACCTGAAATTAACTGAAGAATGTAATTATGTTAGACTTTTAACTCCAAAACGTTTAGTTTTCAAAAAACCTATTTTTTTCAATCGCTTATAACTCGAAAATTATTGACTTCTCAACATTTTTGCTAAGGAAAAATCGTCTCCAAATTAGCCAGAGAATCCGCCCTTAATCATTGGTCCGTTAGTTACCGGACACCTTGTATATATTATATAAAAGTGTATAGCACGTCAGAAGCTTGTGAGCTTACAGCGATAAGTAAAAACAATTGCGTATTTATTTCATTGCGTTTATCTGTTTAAACGCGCGCTTTAATTTTTCCAACGTTTTTGCCTGTTTATATTTTAAAGGTCCTCTCTTCTAAAAATCTTGTTTTAAAGATCCTCTCCGCGAGCAAAATTCGAAAACATAAATTATTTAAATTTAATAAGGAAAACAATTAGATATTTAAAGACAAGGCTCGTGTGATATTATAAATTAAGATTTAGAAAGACAGGGCCAACTATAACGAGCATATTAATTAGTGAGAGATGTAATGTCAACACATAATTGATTTATTTCTTAGTAGATACAATGATAATAAAAATAATAAAACGTTTCGGCTGTTACCTCAGCCTTCTTCAGTAAATATAAAAACAATAAAATTCTCTTAAGAAAAATTATGACATATTACGCATTAGAGTCTATTTTTTAATGAACATTTTGGTTTAATAAGTCGATGAATTTAAATTAGGTTACGCTTATAACATTTATTAAATTAGATATTTTTTCTAATCGGCTAACCATTTTTTAGTTAAGATGGTAAACTTTTTGATTATGTCAAAAAACATGTAAACGAGTTCCCTGTTGTTAGTAGAACAGGTTGACGGCCCATTCCACGTCATCAATTCTTTTGAACATTATTAGTTAAAATTATCGTCAGAACCGCTTGATATGAGAATTGAAAACAATTAGATGTTATCCAGCATCAAAAAGTTAGTCCCCATCATCAAGGATATTTCCGAGTAAGTTCGTCATTGCAGTATATTTCACCGTGATTGTCTAAGTATATTTTTATTTTTTTGGTATATTAATTTATATTAATAAGTTATTTTTTTTATGTGAAAGATCTTAATTGTGTTTAGAATTGCTTACTTAAATTGATGAGTAGTCAAGATTCCGCCAAGTTGATGTGTTCACTATACAAAGTCACATAAATTATTTAATATTTTTACTTTATTATTTGTAAATCCTCGGTAATTTCAAAATTTTTCTATTTGAAAATTATTAATTTTCTATTGCCAATTAATTTTATCACAGACTTTACTCTTACTCCCATTGCACTTTCGTTTGCGGTTTTCAGTATACGATTTTTTATCGTAGTTACTGAAAATTATTATTGTGAATTATACTTGTGCAGTGATTTGAAGAATTTACAATTTCGTTGAAATTGTTGATTTTTCAAAAAAATTACGAGATTCGCGGAAATTGCGTGCTTTCTTGGCATTTTCCGTTCGCGGCAGGCGGTTTATTTTTGATTGTTGCAAGTGTTTTTGTTTTTTTTTTTTTTTTTAGATAATAATAATGTGAAATAAATCACGATATTTGACAGATGTGCATATATATAGAAATTGTAATAATAATAATATTATATCATAAAATTGTAAATTGTTTCAATTTTTTATAGACTGCGATAAAAGATTTTACATTTGGATAAGAAACTGCGGTAAGTAAAAATATAAAATTCTTGAAAACGTAAAAATATTTGATAACGTAAAAAGGTGAACTTTGAAAAATAAGGAACTTAAAAATTGCACTAATAAATGGGCTATATGTGAGCCGTGCGCGGATGTAAGGTGTGTTATATCGAAATTTAATTAATAGAATTGAGAATTAATCCCAATTTTAAGTCTTACAAATGTCCAAGCTAATTTTTTGTACCTCGTGTACATTTTTGAAAGTTATATCGAAAAATTAAATTTCAATATGCGTCTTACATCTCACATTTCGCATACGGCTCACATATAGCCTATTTATCTCTTATACTTTATTTCAACCCTTATAGAAATTTATTACTAGTAACGCCAATTTATCACTTATTTCGAGTAATTAATCACTTTTATTTCGAATACTTAAATTACTGTATATTATAGTATTTTAAATACTCAAAATAAGTGATTAATTGGCGTAGTGATAAATTTCTACAAGAGAATAAGGAGCCTTTAAATTCTTAATGTAAAAAATTTCAAGTAATTTTCTTTAATAAAATTTAATTAAAAAATTTAATTAAAAATTTTTGAACACTGTGTTATATCACATTTAAAATCGTGATTATTTCAATAAAAAACATTTTATGTGTAAAAAATATATTTTTTATATTTAATAAATTTTATATATATATATGCATATATGTAAAATATTCTCTCTCTCTCTCTCTCTCTCTCTCTCTCTCTCTCACACACACACACACACACACGGGGGCCAAATCTCTCAAATTGGTCTCATGATCAATTAGCCTGGATTCGCACCAGGGGCAAAGTCTGTTGGTAATGTCAAACGAATTTAGCCTGGACTTGCACCAGGGGCAAAGTCTTTTGGTTCAAGTCTACGAATTTAGCACGGACTCGAACCAGGGGCAAAGTGTGTCGGTAAGGGGCAAAGTCTATCGCACGAAGATGGCGGTCTCTTCTTTAGGCAGGCCTTTGGCAATCTGTCTATTAATCTGTGTCTCTATCCTTTTTTTCGTCATGTATCGTCTGTCGTCGTCTGCCATACGAACGAGTACGAACCTCTCCAAACCAGTATCAGAGAGAAAGATGAGAGCGGCCAGGCCGGCGTTTTGGCTGTTACCGTTTTTACGGGACTGCTTGAAGCGCCCCTCGCACCCGTTTTTAATATCGGAACTAACTGCACACCCATTTTCTGGCAGGGTCGATAAAGTTTGTATTTGGTGCGAGTCCGTGCTACGCCCATAATTTTCGTGTTAACACAGTATCACGTATTCATTCTGTATATGTGCGATCTTTTCTCTTTATTATATATATATATATATATATATATATATGTATTTATATAATTTGTATAAAAACTAAAATATAATTATTAAAATATATATATATGTATATGTGTAATGAAATATATAAATCTTATTTTAATTAAAATAAAAAAAACGATTAATTGTTCGACCACCTGGATTTTGGAATGTAATTTTTAATATATATTATATTATATTTAATATTTATC